AAAAAAATCAAAAAGCGACATTTATGACTATAAAATGAGTGAAACGGAACAAAAGTAGGCCGTCAGGAACGCATGAAATGTGACTCTAGCGTTGATGAATTTCAAATCATAATTATAACACAGAATTGATACAATATTTTTTTTTGCAAATATGAAACAAGATTCGGCGAAACGGGACCACAAAATGTCATCACAAGAAGATACTAAATAATGATGTCAAGACGTAGAGTCCTAAGTTGTCCGTGACGAGCGAGATTATCTATTATCAGAAGAAAAAGAAAACATGAAAGATATCACAGTTTAGCACTTTCAAAACTATGGACGAAAACGAAGCAGCGCTAAGAATTATTTAGAAAAGCAAAGTCTGAAAAGCATACCTGTTTTTGCAGAGACATAATCATCATTGTTGATCCACATAATGCTACACCATGAGTCAGATTTATTCTATCAAAATTGTACATCACAAAATGAGCTATGCACCCTTTCTAAAATATATCAGTAATGAGAATAAAACGAGAAAATGAAGAAAGATAAGCATGAATAAAAAAAATAGTTCGTTTACATATGTTGCCCACCTCCAAATCGATAGTGAAGAAAGTATAGATTTCCAAACTATAGTTGATTAAAGGGAGCGCCTCATGATTTGGATAGACCATAGGGATTGTTATGAGCTGGTCTGGGGCCTAAATACCGACATAATAAAAATAAAGGAAAAAATACATGAAAAATATCAAAGCCAATTAATCTACTCACAGGTGCAGTCGTGGCCACGACCATGTACTTCCCATCATCAGTGAACAGCATACAATCTGTTCTCAGCAAAGCACTCTCAAGGCGTGACGAACCCATCATCATCATTACTTCAGATTCTAATGAGAATAGACGCTAAAAAGCAAAATCTCACGATAGCATATCATCGCTAGAAGCTTCCCACCTCGCAGATCTCCTCAGGAGCAACACCGCGAGCTCTTTCAACACCTAGATAACGGAATATCCTAACAGAGCGCAAATTTATGCGAAAAGTGATTAAGCGAGACCCGTCTGGAGTCCATGAAACCACATGATCCTGCATGTGGCAACTTTCGGGGACCTGCGA